GGAAAGAGAAGGGTTAACTCCTCTAGTTAAACACTACCATGGATTGAATGGGAGCAAGAGGCATATCGTAGCCCTCTATGTCCCAGTAAGAATTCACCTACGTACCACTACGTGCCAGTAAGAATTCACCTGTGGTTTTAAGGCCATATAACGCACAAGGAAGCCCAAATACAAACCCCTTCTCATGGTACTTTGTGCATAAAGTTTTGGGCAGACACATAAATGTGGTCCACTGGAGCTGAATGAATGAATTCTGTCTGAATGCATTTATTTACACATTGCTCCCCAGGTGCTAGTCTCATACCTTCCCCTCTCTCACCTAGAGAAGTACAGATTTTCTATCTCATCAGCTCTCCCAGACCAGCTTGTCTTGCTCCTTTTTTCACAGACTGCACCTAACCTTTAAGAAAATGCAATAAGTTTACTCTCAATGCTAATTTTAGACCATAATTATGTTAAAAACCCCTTTCACCAGAAGCCCTGTGCAAGGAAACCTATGAAGCACTGGACTGCTCACAGCAGGGCTGGCATGTTGGCTTGTTCCCTTCCTCAATAACTGCCTGAAGGCTTTTAACAGACTAAGCAAGACACGCTAAGTGGGTTGGGGGCCAAGGAAGTAGCTTCCCCATAATAAAACATTTTATTGGTTAAAGATTTTTCAGCTACTGCAATATCTAGCCTTATTTTCAGGATTCCTGTTTGCTTTCCCTTTAACCCATCAGTATGTCAATAAATGCACAGCATAGATTTCCCCCAACATATGCAACCTAATGGATACCAAACATGCTGGTAGCCAAGGTGCACACAATGCTCCTCAACCTTCGTTTCATCTCAAGAGCCATCTGTAGGCCCCAAAACTGCATCCTGACTCCTTGCTAGCCAAAAACTGGAGGCCACATCAAGTAGAAACCATAACTGTAAAAATGCAGCCCATCCCTTTCGTGGAACTTTTACCACATCAAAAGCAGTCACAGTTTTACTCACTATTTTTGTTATTGAAGACGGACACAGACAGTGCATTCTGCATGTCTGTCAGCTGTATATCTTCCCTCATCCTCCCGTTTCTCCAGAAATCTAGTGCCACCTCTGTTATCTTTTCAGCCCCTGCATTGCTAAGTAATGAGAAAACAAAGATTGTAGCTGCAGGTAGTTTTAAAAGGCATTAAGTGTACAAACCAGAAAATCTGAGAAGCCACCTCTTACCTGAGGAATATGAAGATGGCTTGTCGGTAAGACACCCCATCCAGAAGCTCATAGTAGTCCAGGAATGGCTTGATAGAGTCAATGAGTCCTGCATGCATTTTATCCATTTCATCAAATATGAAGAGTGATCTGGGACAGATGCTTACATTTCCCCGAATCCACGACTGCAGCTGGTCCTGAGTGGCATGAAAATAAAAGAGTTTGTGTTGAAAAGAGAGAAAATAGCATTTCTGCTTATTGACCTGTGGCCTGAAAGAGCAATTTCAATCGTGTCATTTTAACACCTTAACACTCTTGACTAAAACATGGCTAAAAGCTGTAAATAAAACCTTACCAAAATCTCATGCTGGTTCTGAAAGAAAAAAATTTTAAGACACCAAAAGACAGGATGGGACAAGCAGGAAATCTCCTCGTAAAAAAGGTATTCCTGTGAACATAGCAAAAATTAAAGTGCACCATAAATGTTCTAATTATCTTCAATGGTTGATCTTTTTCTTTATATTCACTGTTTACTCAGTCCCTGAACTGCAGAGGCAGCACAGGAAGGTGGCATTGGGTGTACTGTGGATAAGAAATGATAGTTCCTTCTACTGCCTCAGAGGGTAAGTTTCTTAAGCGTAATCACCTTAAAACAACAGCAGAAAATGATCCATTTAGTTTAAAACAGTTCAGTTGGGGAAAAGTAAGCCATAAAAGAGGAAATATCTATTTCCTTCATTTAGAAATCAGGTTTGTAGACCGTCCTGTTCCCATTTTTAACATAAACATTCAGTACTACAAAAAACAAAGGTACTCATTCAAACTCTGCTGTTAATAAAGTTAGTGAGAACAAAAAACCTCAGAGAAAACGCATCTGAGCTTGATACCCCCCTGCCTACAGAACTGCGCTGACACTGGCAGAACAATTCCAAATACATTTATCTGTACAAATAAACAAATACATTTATCTGTACCCTTCTGACAAGAGAGTATTTTGTGATTTTATGTCACAGCTGGGAAATGGTTGCATAGGAAAACTAAATAACCTGTTCAGTGTGTAGTAAAACTGAGAAGTACACCCACGCCTCAGAGAACAAGCTTCAGCTTGTCTTGGTACCCAACATGTTTGGATGTTACTGGGTCATTCTCCAAAATCATGAACTGTTCTTTTTTTTGCAGTGCCCACCAGCATATCCCCCTAACCACAGAAACCAGCTGCATCACGCTTATCCTTAAAGTCAGCCACATCTCTAAGCATACAACAGAAATTAACTATATCAATCCTTCCTAAAGAGACTCAAAAGACATGTCAAAAACTTTACATTCATGGGAAAATCAGTCCTGATGGACGTTAGGATTTACCCAGTTCTGTACAGAAGGTTCCAAAACTGGCACAGGCTAAATTTTGCTGCATAAAACATAGTTTAAGTTTCTAGTACCAATTGGATCATAACATTTATAAATCATCAGAGGAATCCCTGCAGCAGAGCTGTGCCCCACCACCACGGGTTCCACACTCTTACCTTGTACAGACTGATGCTGTGAGCGTGAGGGAAGTGTAAAGTTGCCACGAACTGATGGACATATTTACTCTGCAGACCTCTTTTATAAATGCTTTCAGCGATTATCTTACTGACAAAGTTTTTGCCTGTTCCAGTCCACCCGTGCAAGGAAAGGGCAAGAGGCTTTTTGGCGTTGGTGTTGTTCAAGAAGCCCTTCACCGCCCTCACAACCACCTTGTTCACCAGGTGCTGCCCGAACAGCTTCTTGTCCAAATCCTCCTGCAGAGCTGGATGGAGAGACCACACGGTCAGCAGCCGGGAGGGAGATGGGCGCAGGGTCCCGCCGGCTTCTACCTCCTTCGAGGCGGGACCAGCGACCACCCCGGTGCGAAGGCCGCCAGCC